AACCTGGGCCCAGCAAAATCTGAAGGGGCAGCCAAGAGGCATTAGGAGGCCCCAGACCTACCTACCGAGGACACTGACTCCGCGCCCCTCCCCACCCCTGGGCCCCAGCCGTCCTCTCACCTGCGCCCATCTCCGGACCCGGCACTCCAGGGACGTCAGAGGGGCCTCCCGGAGGTGGTGGGGGCGGCGGCGGCACAGGCCCGTCAGTGCCCGGGGGCGGCGGCGGAGGCGGCGGCGGGGGCGGGGGCGGCACGTCACCAGGCAGCGGTGGTGCGGGCGGAAGGTCCTGGCTGCCAGGGAGGGGCGGGGCTGCTGGGGGCGCTGAAGGCAGTGCTTCCTGTGTGGGGGCGTATCCTGGAAGTGGGGGCGCTGGTGGGGGGACTGCTCCGAGAGCTGGCTCTGCTGCAGGTGGATCTGAGCCTGATGAGGGGATGGGAGGGAGCGCGTCCGTTTTTTGACCTAGGTGGTCGGTCCCTCGGCCGCCGCCCGGGCCCGCCGCGCGCATGCGCACTGGGCCCTTTCTCACACCTGAGCGGCGCCCACACGCCCAGCTTCTGGCTCCCACCCTCAGCGCCGGAGGTGCTTCCAGCCCTTCCACCCCCACCCCGACCCGCTCCCGCTAGCCCCGACCCCGGAGCCTAAAGCTGCTGCGCACCTGGGTGGGGGTAGTTGATGGGCACGCTCGGAGTCGGGGGCTCCGGGCTGCCAGGAGTTCCCAAGGCGACCGGGAGGATCTCAATGGCCACCGCCTCCCCCGGTCCCCGCAGGATGCGGATTAACCCCTTCTCCTCCAGCTCCTCCACCTTCAGCTCCAGGGCCGAGGGATGCGCTGCCACCGAGGTGGGAGGAGGCCCCTTCTCCGGCTCCGAGGGTCTTCCGGGGGCATCCATGGAGGTGGACTCGCTGTAGCGCTCCTGTAAGCCCCGGAGGAAGGGTCATTGCCCACCTGCAAGCCCCCGGATCCAGGTCTCCATCCACCTCCGGGCCGGAGGGGGTTGCTGGCCTGGCAACCACACCGGGGCCCCAGCCCACGGCCCCAGACTCACGCGCAGGGTCTCCAGCTCCTTGCGGGCCTGGGTTAGCTGCTTTTCCAGCTCGGCGATCTTGGCCATGGATTCGTTCTCCGCGTCCCGGAGCCTCTCTGTCAGCTATGGTACCGGCACATTTGGTGAGTTCCCACCCGCGGGCGGCTGCTGGGCACTGGCGCTGCCAGCGATTGGGCGGCCCCAGGCATGTCTGCCTGGAGGCCGGGGGAGGCTCCTGGATGGTACTCACCAGGGATGGTGGGTGTCCCAAGCCTGCCACTTGAACCCAAGTACCCAGCCATCCACAAGCCCCGAGGGTCTGCCCTCTGGAGAAGGGGTGGCCTGCCTTCCTCACAGGTTCAGCCCCGGAGAAGCTCAATGAACACCCACTCACTTCAGGGTGTGGGGCCTGGCGGAGACCCCTGAGGAAGGCACCCCTACCCCCACCCCAGCCAATGCCAGGGCTGGTGCAGGCCCCTCCCTCCGGCCGCTCTCACCGTGGCCACCTGCTCCTGCAGCTCATCCAGGTGCTCCATTAGAGCGTTCTTAGTTTCCGTGTCCTCCAGCAGCGAGCCCACGTCAAACACATTGTCCAGGTAGGCCTGAATCTGCACTTGCAGCTTGTCACTCTCCGTGAGCCTCAGCCTCTGTCCCCAGACACCACAAGTGGGGTGAGGACTGGGGATGGGGGTGGTCCTTTCAGTTACCCCCAACCCCACAAGGCCCCACCTGAGGAAGGGGTCTGCGCCCTAGTTTGCTTTGTCCCTTGATTTATTTAGTAGTAGTATTTTTATCGAGGGCTGCTGCACACTCAGCGAAGGTACTGCTTCGAGTTTTCATAGATCTACAGATCGATCACACAACCATACCCGCAACCTCTAAGACCAAGCCATGCCATCCCCGCCCCCCAGGAAACCCATTCCCATCTGCCGTCCATCCCGTTCCCCCTCGCCTGTGGGCCTGTCAGGTCGATGGAAACATTCACCATATGGCCTGTCCAGCCCGGCTTCTTTCACTTCGCACAGTGGTTTATTTCCAGACTCTTCCCTGCCAGCACGTCCCTCCCTGGCCGAGTGACATCCCACTTTCTGCTATGCCACCCTGGTCCCTTTGTACTTTTGGTCACCTGCCTTTCAAAAACCCAGTCCTCAAGCCTGGACCCCTCCAGGAAGCCCCCAGAGACACTGAGGGAGAAGCAACAGCATCTCTGCTGTGGTTTTCCCTGGGTCCAGAAGCACCAAGCCCCCTGCACACCTTCCCCAGGGCAGCGCTCTCCTCTCCTCGGGGAGCCGGCCCAGCAAGGCGATGATCTGGGTCCCTTGCAGTCTGGCATCACTGCACGTCCCTTCTCCCCTTCCCCCACTGTGATGCGGAGGCATGATCCCAAGGGCTGCCTGATCCCAAGGCTCATGCTAACCACTGAGCCATGCTCCACCCCAGGTGAGCTCACCTCCAAGTAGAGATCCAGACCCAGGTGGGTGAACTCATATTGCAGGAAGACACGGAAGTTCATGTTCTCTACCGAGTGGACCACGATGTTGATGAATTGCATGCAGGCCACCTGGGGGTGAGGGGCAGGGGTCATGAGCAGGTATAGGATCTTCAGGTGGGGCGGGGGGTGTGGTGCTCAGTGCCTCCCATCTCCCTGTTTATACCAAGCTTCCCTCCCTCTCCACATCTCCTATTCCATGAGCCCAGCACCCTGCTTCTCCAGCGGATCACCTGCCCACCTGCTCAGTGGCCCTGCCCAAGCTTAAGCCTGTTGGGCTCCTGAACTCACCAGGAAATCAATGCTGCTGTCCTCATGCCGGAAATAGTCCATCAGCTTCTCAAAGCGGTGCTGCTCCCCGCACACCTGGGGGAAGGGGGGTGGCCGTCACAGAGCCCTGGCAGCCTCCCCCCAGAGGCTCACCTGGCCTCCCAGCCTACTCCACTCCCATTTCCACTGGGCAGGATCTGGGGGGAGCCCCTGCATTCAGTGACCCCTTGTCCCCAACACCTTGACTATTAGGGGCAGGCCTGGGAAACTGGCCTTTGTGCCACCATTCAGCAGGGCCAGCCAGACCTGGACCCTTCCTCTGGTCCTCAGGTGGAGGGGAGGGATTAGTTCCACCAAAACAAACAACAAATCTATGCAGATTGTATGCAAATACATCCCACCCACCCCTACCCACCAACTGCTGGTACAGCTCTCTATGTGGCAGCTGCCACCATCACCCCAGGAGCTCTGTGACCTCTCTCTGAAGCTGGCCAGCTGCCTGCCCAAATACTGACACCAAGCCCAAGTGCCTCACCAGCATGGGACTTAATGGCCAAGGCAAGTGGACCCTACAGAACCACACCCCAGAACCTGCCTCACCATATCCTCTCCACCTCTCTCCAGAACTTCTTCTTCCCAAGCCATCCTCACCCTGTGCTCTCTACATGCCTGTCAGTGTCCCTAGGTACCTCCAACAAGGCCAAGGTTACAAGCCCCCCACTGGGGCAAGTACATGTTTGGGCATGTGGGTACCTCCTTGAAGTGGTCAAAGGCCGCCAGGATGATGTCATGTCCCCCTCGCACCAGGCACACGGCCGCCAGCAGCTCCAGCACCAGCGCCTTGGTTCTGTGGAGAGAAGGATGGGCTGTCCCCTGAGAACAGGCAGGCTCTGCAGCCATGGTGGACACAGGGCAGGGGGGCTGATGGTGAGCTCCTCGGTCAGGGGCAGGGGCCGGGCTTGGGGGAGACTAGAGAAGCTCATGGTCTGGGCAGATGTCCTGAGAATCAGGGGACAGAGTGGGCAAGGGAGCTAAACAGGAATGGGGAGGGCAGCCTCACCGGGGGTTCTTGTTGTTAAGGCTCAGAGCAATCTCATTGACACAGGCAGGGTGGTTCATGACGAGGCTGAAGCCGGACTGGAGATAGAGGAGAAGTCAGTCCCTCCAGGACTGCTATTTCCCTCTGCCCAGCACCCATAGAACAGCCCGTGCCAGGTCCCGCTGGCCTTTAATTGCCCACAAGCGTAGACGGTTCTTTATCTCCAACCACAACCACACCCTCTTCTGCTTCAGCCAAAGCCTGCTTTAAAAAAACCCAGCATCTTGGACACAGTGCGTCTTCACAGGCTAAGGGGAGGAGATTGCACCTCACCACTCCCCCGAACTACACACCCAGCCCTGCTGGAGGGGGGTGACTCAGGTCACTGTGTGAGGCACTGTCACACACGCGGCCATAACTGGAGGCATGGCTTCAAGACATGTCAAGCTCAAGACACCGAGGCAAAGGCCCAGGCTATTAGGGGTCCCAAGTGGGCAGCAGGGCGGGGAGCCGTGAGTCCAAGGGCCTAAGCAGCCTGGGCAGTTCCTAGTGAGCTCCAGCCAGGCTGCTCCCCATGCCCGCCTCCCTCGGTCCCTCAGCCCTCCCCTCACTCCCCCCCCCAACCTGGTAGTTCATGATGGCACGCAAGCACATGATGCAGACATGAACGTCATCCTTCTGACTGACAATTCGAGAATTCCGCAGTGCCTTCCTGCTGTGGGCTGGCGTCAGTCTGTGGGGGTGAGCGGAGAGAGGCCTGAGCCCCCATTTCCTATTACCCCATCACTTGGTGCCTCTGGAACCTTAGGCGGCTATCTCCCACCCACCCAACAAAAGAGGCCTGCTGTGCCATCCCCAGGCCTGGAGCCAGGAGAGGTGGGAGGGGGTGTGTAACACGGGCATTGAGAGAGGTTGCCTGGGGAGAGAAAAGACAGCCATCGCTTGGAAACCACTAGGTGGCACTCAGGCCACCTGGGTGAATCTTCCATCTTGAGAGGCAAAGTCTGAATTCACAGGACATTGGTTCGAATCCAGCTCTGTCACTTAGTGGATGAGTTTCTTCAGCTTCCTGTGCCTCAGTTTCCTCGTTTGTGAATAGGAATGGTAATAATCATACCTTCCTGACTGGGTTTTTGAGGACTATAAAGCGAGTAAAGACCTTACATAGAACAGGCACAAAGCAAGTGCCTCCTGTCTGCCGTGCCTTGCCCCTCTCCCCCACTGCCTGCAAAGACTACACATCTGTTCAGACGCATGCCAGTCTCACCTCTTCTGGGAAGCCTTCCTGGTGCCCCAGTCAGTGGTCACCTCCCTCCTCGGGGTCCCAGTCACACCTCTGCCACAGCCTGTCACCCTGCACTGTGGCCCATTAGACGGTGGGTCCCCTCTCACAGGCTAATCTGACTCCTGAGGACCTGCCACGCTGCCTGATACACCCCACTGCCATCGAGTCTATCCCTACTCAGCGACCCTGTGGATGTCAGTCTTTACAGGCAACCTCATCTTTCTCCCGTGGGGCAGCTGGTGGGCTTGAACTGCCAACGTTGAGAGGCCACATAGTTAATGCTAAAAAAAACGTTTGCTGAATGAATAAGTAAACACAATGATGAAGGTTAGGAGCTTAATGTGAAGTGGGTCCCCATGACCCAAAGTCACCGTGCAGGACTGGAGCAGCTGATCCCTGACATCCCAGCTGCCCACCCCCATCCCAGGGGTCAGCCAGGCATGCACATCCCCCAGGGGGCTACATACCGGGGAGAAGGGGGGCATCTGAAGGCCACGTGGGAGAAAACAGAGGGAGTTAGATGGGTACAGGCCGGCTCCATTAGCCCAGAAACCCCCTCCTCCTTCCAGACCCAGCCAGACCCCATGCCCTCTGTGCCATTCAATAGCTTCTTCATATGCCTGGGACCTGAGGCATGTGTGCAGGGCTATGGGGATGCATCCCCCATGTCCCCATTGGGTTGCACACGTACTTGATAGTCATGTGGCGACTTTTGGGCTGAGGTGGGCCCGCCAAGGGAGACCCTTTGCTGAGATCCTCCACTGACTGCTCCAGGGGCTTACTCTTCTCCGGGCTGGGGGACCCATTGTCTGTGTTCTCCATGTCATACCTGCAGGGGAGGGGGCAGTGGGGCCACTTGGGAGAGGGGTGGAGGGAACCAGGGAAGAGAGACCAGGCTTGAGAAGTCGCTGGGGGGTGGGGGTGGAGGCCATGTCCTGGGAAGTTGGGTGAGCATGATGGAGTGGGGGGGTCGGTGGACCAAAGAGGGAGTCGAGAGGATGTTGTCCAGGTCCCAGGGGGCCCCCAACCATGGTCTTCCCTGGCCAAGGCAGGCCTTCAGGGATGGGGTTGTTTAGAGCCACGCACTGGGCACCAGGTGGACTGGGGGAGCCAGCAAGACAAGAGAAGCAGGGGCTGTGAGGCTAGGAGCGGCCGGGGAGCACTTACGTGAGGGAGCACTGAGCAAACGCCAGGTAATCCAGCAGCACATCCAGGCCTCGGTTCTCCTCGCTGAGGAACTCCCGCACCCACCTGCAAGCGCAGCACTCCCTGAGTCAGTCCCCCTGGCAGACTGGGCAGGCCATGGGCCCCCTCCCCCAAGGAGACAGCGCCAGCCCAGGCTCAGAGGTCCAGGCTGCTAGGGGCTCCTAGGGGCATGTCTGAGAGGAGGGGAAGCCATCCAAGCCCACCTGCAGGGAGCCCACAAGCACAGCCCTGTGCAGAGGGCACCGGCGGGGCTGCTGTATGGGGGACAAGAGCCCCTCACTCACCCAATGTGATTGGTCCTCAGGGAGATCTCTAGCTCCCGCAGCACCTGTGTGGACTCCTGGACTCGCCTCTTAAACTGGGGGTCCAAACAGAGCAGCCTGAGGTGTGGAGTCAGGGCTTCTTCCCACAGCCCACTGAGCCCCAGACGGCAGCCCAGAGGGCAGCCCAGCTGGCAGCATAGACCACCCCCCCCATCTGCACACACTGCCTTTCCCACAAGCAGCCTCCCCCACTTGCTCCACACACCTGCTCCAAGCCAGAAATCCCAGGCTACCTACTCCCCTGTGCACAAACATATGCATGCATGCCACCTGGTCATGCTTGGACACGTAATACATATACATGCACACACACACCCATGCTTAGATACACAAAGTACACAGACACATACACACTCCTACTCAGATGTCCACACAGATATACATACACACACTCATTCTCAGACACACCCACACACATGCATACTTGGATACACACACGCTCAGACACACAGGTGCACAAAGGCACTACCCATTTCCATACACACATACACAGGGTACACCTCACGTCCATGCAGGACATCCTGAGCACACACACACAGGTACATTCCTATACGAGCACCCCAGGTATACACCCACAGGGCACACATGCGTCCAAACACAGGCTATTCCCCCACACCCATACACAGACATCCTGCGTACACACACACGTAGCTGGAGTGCACGCCCACAGAGGATACACATGGCACTCCCAGGGTCCACACATCTACACATGGGCATTGTGTACATGTTCACATTCAGACACAAACACAAAAGGACACACAAGGTGTCGCCACATGCACACACCAGGGCCCGACAGTGTGCCCTTGGACACACACGCAGGATGCTCAGAAGAGCGTGTCAGCGTGCCTGTCCAAGCACGCACCATCTCTTCTAGCTGCACACCCTCACACACGTCCCCCACAAACCCACAGGAGAGCGGTACACGTGCTTGCAGTCACTCCAGCTGCCGACAGAGGAAAGGGGGAGACATATACCCCCAAGTTGGGCATCCAGTCAGTTGCCACCTTCCGGCTGACCCCGCCTGTGTCCAGGTAGCTCTTCAGCTTCTGGATGTAGGCCACAGGGGGGTTTTTGACTTGAAACCGCTCCTGGAGGGAAGAAAGGAGGTGCACAGGTCGGCCAGACCCCCACCCTCATCCCGTGTCCCTTCCCAGCTCTAATCAGGACCCCAGGCTGCCTTACTCTGCCAGCAGTCAGGCCCCCAGGCCTGGCCCAGCCTTCCCTCCCCACTGTGGCCTAGTCCAGCTCTGGAGGGGACATGGGGAGGGTCAGTTCTGCCAAGGACACCAGACACACCCCACCCCTACACGGTGGCACCCTCCTAACCTCCTGCTCTCCTGGAGCCCCAACCCCCAACACCCTGTCCTGACCCCAGGGGGCAGGAAGGAAAAGTGCCCTAGACAGGCCTGTCTGGGGGTAGGGTGGGGGGGGTGGATCACTACCCACACACAGCACCCGAGGCCAGCCTTCTCAGCCACCCTGCTCACCTGGGATGCTGGCTTGGAAGGACCTGTGTGTGTGCTCACTTGAATTCAATCAAGAAATTCCTGGCTCCCCCATCTCCTCCCCCCACCCACCTACCCCCAGCTCAGGCAGCCTCTCAAAGAGGCAGAGACCAAGCTGAGGCTCTGAACCCCAGGGGTCCTGTCTGAAATGCCAAGCCCACTTGAGCTCCATGGTTCTTCCCACACCCCACCCTTACCCCACACCCCCTTCAGGCCAGCTCACCCCACCCCATCCATTACAAGAGGGCAGTGAAGCCCAGCCCTGGCTCCCAGGGGAGGTTCCCTGCTCCCCCAACTCCCCACCCCCAGCTTCCACTACTAAGAACTTCAAGGCCACTCCCTGATTCTCTCCCTCAACCCCCCCCTCCCAGCACTGGGGGAAGGGTTCCCCCCACTGCCACAGACTGCAGCTGTAGGGGCAGGAGCTAGGAGTGAGCCAGGAAAGGGGGAGTGGGGAGGAGCATCAGGTCCTGGACCACTCCCCCAGGAACTGGTTGACCCCAGGGCTGCCAAAGTTCCTATGGGGCCCCAGGTAGGAGGGCAGGGCTTCCTGCCATGGGGCCAAGTGAAGCTATCCGTCCCTGGAGGGAAGGCCAAGGAAGCTGTTCCAGAGAGCTCACCTGAATGGTGCCGGCATGGCCCCTGCACACGGCTTGGTGCCCTGGCAGCCCAGCAGAGACAGCCCCAGACCCGCTTCTGCCCCCCAGGCTCTCTGGGGGTCCCCCATGCCCCAGAGAGGGGGACCCCAGGGTCCTTCAGGTGCCCCAGCACGCTCCCAGGTGCAATGCTGGCCTCTGAGCAGAGTCTTGGCCCCCTGGACAGAGCGGCAGTGTGCCCCCACCCCAAGGTCCCCAGGAAGGGCGTGGGGACACCCACCTGGTCACAGATGAGCTCCCACTTCTTCTCATTGTCATACTGGCTCAACAGCTGCACCTTGTCCGGCGGCAAGTTCATGCAGTTCTGGGAGGGGGACAAGCACAGAGCCCTGAGCCTGGGGACAATCCAGCCCCCAGGTGGGCTCTCACACAGAAGGGGGTCCCCTCAGCCTGGAGTACTCTTTGTCCTGCTCCCCAAGCCTGCGAAGAATGGGGAAAGCACACGGGCTGCTAAAGGGCCCAACAAAGCCATCTTGGAAGAAGTCTGGCCTGGCCTGAGTGCTCCTTAGAGGCAAGGATGGCAAGACTCGGTCTTACATACTTTGGGCATGTTCTCCGCAGAGATCAACCCCCCGGGGAAGGGCATCAGGCTTGGTATAGCAGCGGTGCAATGAGAGAGGAAGGCTCTGAAGGCCCTTGACACCGTGGCGGCAACAGTAGGCCCCAACGAGGGCACAACTGTGAGGATGGCGCAGGGCTGGGCAGTGCTTGGTACTGTGGTGCAGAGGTCGCTGTGGGTCGGAACCAACGCGGTGGCTCCTAACAAGAACACCCCCCAGCCCGACCTCCATCCCTGTGACAGCATCCTCTGGGATGTAGTGGCAGCTCTGAGTGAGGGTGCCGAGCCTAGCTTACTGGGACCACAGGCACCTCTGCCCCAGCTCTGCCCCCTGGGACACACAGGTCTCACCTCCTCCCACGTGTGAGAAGATAATAGCGGGTCAACCCCGGCCAGGCCCATGTGCAGCCAGGTGTGGACATGGCCCATGGGGTGGGGGGGGGCACCAGGGCAGAGAGCCTCACAGACACCAGGAGAGGGCCCTCTGCCCCCGCTCAGCCTGCAGAGGGAGGGGCGAGACACGGCTGGGGGATGGGAGTTCCAAGAAAGTGCAGCAAGGTACAGGGGAGGGGAATTTTGGAGAGTAACCACCCAGTCACGGGCGCTCCCAGCCTGCATGCTGGGCCTAGGGTGTTGTGACCCAGGCTGGGACTTCCCTCAGCAGCTAAGAAAGGTCAGCACAGACTGCCAGGTTTCCCCTCCTCTGGCCTGCTCTGACAGCATGCAATATGTCAGTCACACTCCCCCCACAGGGCAGGTGTCGGGATCAGCCAGGTGTCACCAGCCTGAGAGAACCCCTGGACCCCCGAGATGGAGCCTCTCCCTGGATGTCCAGAAGGCAAAGGCCCCATGAGCCCTGGTGACTCGCTGGGCTTCGATTCGCAAGGTTGGTGGTTCGAAGCCACCAGCCACTCCCAGGGTTGCTACTCTCATTGACAGTTGCAGTTTGAGAAGCACACAGGGGCAGTTCGGGACACACTCCTGGTACAACCTGTCCCCTAGGGTCGTTATGAGTTGGCATCCACGCGACAGCAGTGAGTTTGGTTGGTTAAGGGTTTTCTTGTTGGTTTGTTTTCATTTTTGCTGCCACGTCAGACCCCAGAGTTGATTCTTGCCCTCAAGGAGCAAGCCAGGGTCTCCACGGAGGCCGTGGGAACCCCAGGGAGGGTCCCCACCAGGAGCCACTGTGGAAGTTCCTGTTACGGGCTGGGGTGGCTCAGACAACACACCTCCAGTCGCCGCAGGACCTGAGAGGGGGCCACACTCCCTGTGACGACTCAGACAGCTTCCTCTCGGAGCGGCTGGGTCTAGTCCCGGGTCCCTGGCCAGGCCGCACCCCAGAAATCACTGCGGTGGGTCGCCCAGACAACAGGAAGCAGGGTGCTCTTGGCTCCCATTGCTTAAGCTTTCTAGCTGGGGGCCCCACTCGAGAGAAGAAACTGTCCCTGCCCGGGGCTGGCTGACACTGGGGATACGTCAGTGATCTCCCCCATTGCAAAACTGAGTGAGCTGGCAGTGAGGAAACCGGAGCTGCCTCCTTGGGCACCCTCCCCTCCCCCTTCAGCAACCGGCCAGCTCTCCAGCCACTGCTGAAGACCAGGGAGGGGCTGCCCAGGAAGGGTCTGAGGGCTGTGGGAGGATCACACTCTGTCCCCACAAGAGGCCTCCCTGGGGCTACTGTCTCTCTCCCCCGTTCTTCCTGGCACACAGCCGTGCCGTGCCCATGGGGACAGGGCCAAGGCTGGGAGCAAGGTCTGGAGGCGGCAGCGGGGTCGGGGGAGGCAGGCGGGAAAGAAGGCAGGCAGGGCTGACAAAAGTGGAGGGAGAACCGGAGCCAGGAGCCAGCACAGGGAAGGAGAGGAGGGCAGGGGATGGGGGCTGAGCCTCCGCGGCTGAGTCTGCGGGGGCAGTTCCTCCCCAACACGGGTCTCTCTGGAGCCTCCACCCACCCTAGCCATCTGACTCCTGGAGTGGCCCCTGCACCCCAGAAAGCACTGCCCCGGCTCCGGGACCAAGCCCACCTCCACCACCTCTCTCAGCCCTTCACAGCTCCATGGCCCCGCTCCCCGACACCAGACACCACTGCCACCAGGCTCAGTGGTCCTGACTCCCACTCTAGGGGTGAGGCAGGAGGAAGTCTGGAGGGCCAAGCGGACTGCTGGGCCCGTGATGGAGAGGAGGGTGGTTTGAGCCCAGGAGGCAGTGCACTGGGAGACACACACACACACAC